TCTTGAGGCCTATATATTCATGTACTCGAGCCAATTATGAGAAGAAGTTGGGATTAAGTGAAATAATATATTTCTTCCTCCATTTCTCTTTCAAATTATATTGAGTTGTATTTGTTTGTCTAACCCACTTATTTCCAACAAAGTGGTATTAGAGCAAAATTGGAAAGTGGTATCAGAGCAAAAGCCAACACGTCCCTCGACTTTTTCATTCTCCAAATCAAATCGCAAAATCACATTTCAAATTTAAAAAACCAAACTTAGATTGTGAACCCTTTTCTCTCTCTTAATTTTCATCCTATTTCTCTGTCGTCAAATCTATTGGAGCTCAAAGATTTAGACTTATACCAGAACTCTCTCCTCATCACCAATCGTCACTAATTTGTTGTAGCTGTCAACCTTCTCTCAGACAGAAAGTTAAAACACTTAGATATATAGAGATGTTGGATAAAGAACATCACTTTGAGTCGATGGCTGATGCGAAGGCCTCCAAGACCTACCCATAGCAAGCTGGAAAGATTTGCTAGAACGGATATATAGTTATCAAGAATAGGCCATGCAATATCTTGCTTTATATGTTGTTAATTCCACTTCGCTAAATTCATATTTTTCTTCAATATTTTGTCTAATTCATGCTCTCTATAAGAATTGGTGCTACATGTTATTTTATTTATTTAGTAAATTTTGGTGACTTCTTCAAAATTCATAAATTGGTATTGAAATAACTTTTACGATTGTACGAAATAGCAAAAGTGTTGAGAAAGATTCAAAGACTAGAGAAATGATATAAACTTATTTATCAACTGAAATAGAACCAACAATATAACAGGGATAAATAAAGTAAGTAAAATAGAACAGATAATTAAAGAGAGAGAGATACAGAAAATAGAGTAAAAGGAATAGGCTGGCCTGATTGAGAGGCACGTGCAGAGATATTGTCCTAAAGCCTTTGTAACCTCCCTACTTGTAGGTGATGGCGGACCACAGAGACTCCAAGATACAACCCAATAGTTCTCGCAACCAAGTGTCTCCTCTTCAGGAAGGAAGACGGGCCGGTGAACCAAGTCTCTATGTCGAGTTGCCCAAAAATGATATAATATATGGAAAGTAGACAAAGAAATATTGCTGAGATATCACAAAAGGTTATAGGAAAATATATGGTAAGAGGGAAAGGTTTGATGATCGTATGGAGTGCGTATCTCGTTGCCTTATATAGGTCTCCCCAAGAAGCCAAATGGCTACCTCATTATTCATCATTATTTGCTAAATAAGAACACAATAAATTATGCATGTTATGGACTTTAAAGAGCCCAACGTTCATGTGAATAATTGTAAATTAATTCCATATAAGTAACAACAAAATTTCAAACAAGGAAATAAAATAAATTAGGAATATTAAAACTTTTCAAACACAAAAGGAGTTTTTAAATCTTTAAAATTCTCAACAATCCCCCACAAGATTTTAAAATTTCTTAAAAACCATAAATGTATCTGTAACAAAATAATAATAATAATAATAATAATAATAATATGGGCAATATAATACTATGTAATAGGTATAGGTACCTTTTGGGTTTGAACCCATTCTTAGTGTTAATAGTCTCCATTTGAGGAATATGGGTGAACAATGTCTTGAACCAAACCCTTTAAACCAAACTTCAACATATCACACACATAGTATGGACAATAGACTTGAGTTTGCGGGTTAGCGCTATTAATGGCCATACACTTGTATCTGGCTTCTCAGGAGAGTTTTTAGAGAACAACCCAATCCTAATAGTTGCGACCTCACGATGGCTCTAACTTAGGTGAATCCTCCAAGGGCATATGTGATTTACACCCTGCGAGAGTATGCCCAACTTGGATTCATTGAGGGAAAACCCTTCCTAACATCACATAAAATAACATTATGCCATAAGGATGAGCATTAGAGAATCTCCCCGAGAAACCTCCTAATAATAGAGTGTTGTATATGAGTCATGCAGTGTGGATTATTTGTACTCATTGAACAATCTTTATGGAATCTTTAATCACGAATGTTGGTTTACCTCTAAAGGTGACTCCCTTATGGGCTTAAGCCCATCCCCCTCGACATGTCTAGGACTACACTCCTAGAAAGACCGCTGGTTAATTGGTCAGCAATATTGTTTTCTGACTTTATATATTCCAATGATATGATATTTTTGTTCATCAAGGTCCTCATAAACATGTATCTAACTTGGATATGTTTGTTGAATTTTTTATTCACATGGCATTGCCTCACAAGATCTATAGTTGCCTTACAATCAAAATGTATAGCTATGACAGGTATTGATTTACTCATCAAAGGTATGTCTAATATATTTTTGATCCACTCAACCTCATTAGAAGTTGTATCTAAGGCTATGAGCTCAGACTCCATTGTACTTTTAGAGATTATAGTTTGTTTTTTAGATCCCCAAGATATAGCAGTTCCTCCCAAGAGAAACATATATCCCCTTGTAGATTTCACATCTAAATTACTAGTGATCCAATTTGCATCACTATATCCTTCTATCACATTTGGATAACCTCGATAACATAATGAGTAATAAAGTGTTCCTCTAAGATAGTTAAAGACTCTCTTTATTGCAACCCAATATTCCTTACTTGGATTATGAGTATATCTACTAAGTCTCCCAACAACATAGGCTATATCAAGCCTTATTTTATTTGCAATAAATAATAATGGTCCAATTACTTCTGAATACTTCAATTTAGAGACAAGTTCACCATAATTTTTCTTTAAATGGAAATTAGGATCAAATGGGTTGTCATAAGCTTGCTATCAAAATAATTGAACATCTTTAACATCTTCTCAATGGTACTAGATTGATTCAATGTGATACCTTGTGAATTTCTCTTTATCATCATTCCAAGGATCACATAAGCCTCACCTAAGTCTTTTATATCAAAATTTCTTAATAGGTATGACTTCACATCCTTAACTATCTTCAAATTAGTTACAAATATCAAAATGTCATCCACATAAAGGCATAATATAACATGATCATCATTACTCTCTTTGTGATAAACACATTTATCATGATCATTTATCTTAAATCCATAATCTAAGATAACCTTGTCAAGTTTGTCATGGCATTGTTTAGGAGTTTGCTTAACTAATTTACATACCTTTTATTCTTGTCCCTTAACCATAAATTCCTTGGGTTGCTTCATATAAATTTCTTCATTTAGATCCTCCTTAAGAAATGCGATCTTAACATCCATTTGATGAATCACTAAGTTATGGATGGAGGCTAAAGTTACTAATATTTTAAAGTTTTAATTCTAGAAACGGGTAAGAGTCAAAGTAGTATATTCCTTTCTTTTGAGTAAACCCTTTAATTACTAGCCTCACTTTATATTTATCTATGCTCCCATCAGGTTTGAATTTCTTTTTAAATATCCACTTGCATCAGTCACTGCTAAAATTTAATAACACAATTCTTCCGTCTCGGTAAAAGGGTAAACGAACCACTAGAAGTGAAAATATTTGGTTACGTGAAACTCTCTCTGCAAGGCCCCATTCGTAGTAGGTGTTTGGGATTGCTTCTCTAATATTGAAAAGCACTTTCATTTCAAAAAAATTGTGGTGCGATGTGTTTGGTGAAAAAAAAAATGCTGATAGCTGGTAAAGTTTACATCAAAGAAGCGTGTTTAAGTGAACATAGGAATCGTAGCTTTTAAAATTGCGTTACGGATAAAGGTTCATGTTTTTAGGCAACTAATTTTTTTTAGGCAATTTAATCCCTTTATATGTTTTATAAATACAATTTTGCCCTGCTACAAACAAATAGCAAACAATATTGGGAATCTATAACAAACGAAGATTTTAAATTTTTCTGGGACTCTACAGTCGCCTTCCAAATCAGATACACATTAATCATCATTAAAACATGTTTAACTGATTTATATTTTAGTACTCGATACAAATTCGATACCATAAATAAAATATCTGATATTTAAAAAATAAAAATAAATTATTGAACTCAATGGAATTTTATAATATTTAATATTAGTGAATTAGCACATATTTAGTGCAAGGGTAATATACGAAAATTAATAACAAAAGTGTTTTAATCAACATTATTACCAAACAAATTTTAAAATGCTTCAAGTATAAAAAATGCTTTATACAATGTGTCACCAAATGCATAAGTACATTTTACTGAATACTATTAAAAGTGTTTTCAACATTCTAACAGCAATGCTAAACGAGCTCATAATATAATTAAGTTATAATGTCATGCCTACACATTCAGGAAACATCTGGCTGATCTATTAAGCAGAAACATTTCTCAAAGGTGGTAAAAAAAAAAAAAAAAAAAAAAAAAAAAAACTTTGTTTCTGTGATGCTTAGCTTCTTAGTCAATACTTGATGAAAAGGGATTAGTTAGTTCTACACGTTAAGGTTACCCTTTGGTTCAATGTCTTAACAAGGAACCAATTTATTTAACATTGTTCTTATCTATTGAGACTCTATTTTCTTCAATTGTCAGATGAGTTATCCAAAGATGACACCTGTATGATATCATTTTAACCCATTCCAATTCTTTGTTAAACATGATATTCTGAAAAAGTGCAACAACTTCCATTCATTTGGGTCCCACATGAATGCATGGGCTATAAAGTCATGCGAGGGCTGAACCAGCCATATCTTTTGGTGTGTAGCATTCAAAGAAATATGGTCACCAATTCTAAATAGTACAATAATTTCTCAAATTTTCGCTAAAAATATTTTTTGCTTGTAAAGTCGTGCACATAATTTTGAGCAGAGCCACAAACCACTGGTTTATCTACACCATAAATCCCCACGTTGCATTCCGAAAGAATACCAGGACAAATCCTTTTTTCTGGTCTAAGTAAAGCCCTACAATATTTGATTGATCTTTTTTTTATTACCTTTCTATTTTATTTGATGCATCTTGTTCTTAGGGATGTGTGTATAAACGTTCCAGATGGTATGGTAAGCCTTTCTATCTTCCCTTTCATCAGTTGAGATTTTTTATGAAAAAGATGAGCAAAATAATCAGCTAATTTTTCATTTTTTGTTTTCATTATAGGATAAAAATATTTTCAAATATTTGGAATAAAATATGTGATTTATGGTTCTTTAGATACGATTCAATTTGAGAAAACAAAAAAAAAGGAATTTGTAAGCAATGGCTAGTAAAACCAACAAAGATTTGATAATTGAGATTCTCTTGAGGCTGCCGGTGAAATCACTTATACGATTGAAGTGTGTATGCAAATATTGGTCCACTCTGATTAGGGATTTTAATTTCATTTCCATGCATTTCCACCATCCTAGCAACATTGATCATCTCTTTGTTCAACATTACGATTATAGCACGGAAAAATATACTTTCGCCTTGTTCCCAGATGAAACGCTTGCTAACTCATGGGTTGATTATCACAATCTCGGTGATCTTCAAATGCCCAATCAACCAGGCATTCTTGGTATCTTCCATGGCATAATCGGTCTTTGGGATTGTAATCGCATAGTTTTGTGGAACCCTGCCATTAGAGAATTCAGGGTCCTCATTATACCAATACCCGACCTTCCACCTGATTATTACATCTTCAAACATTTTGCAGGATTTGGATTGGATCCCAACACCAACAACTACAAGGTTGTATGGATTTGGGAATATGGGGATGAAGAGTATGACCTTCGTAGAGTTGTTGCAGTATATAACTTATATGCTGATTCTTGGAGAGTTTTTAAAGTTGATTTGCCCTCGAATATTGTGCATGATCTTTCATCTAACACATATATGGATGGATGTATTCATGATTCTTCATCAAACACATATTTGAATGGATTTTATTATTGGATGGCCGATTACAATTACCTTATAACTATCCTTACATTTGACATGGATAAAGAGATTTTTGGAGATATACCAGGGCCTCCACTTACCAAATATAATTATGGGGATATAGTCTTGCACAACAATTCTATTACTTTGATTCATTGGGATCTTCGAGATGTTGAGAAATGCTTAGACATATGGGTGATGAAAGAGGAGAGGTTCTGGACCAAAGAATTAACTATTGGACCTCTTCTTGATGTTGATAGGCCCCTTGGTTTATGGAAAAATGGTGAGGTATTCCTAGAAACTAACACGTCGGAGTTGGTTTTATACAATTGTTACACCCAAGAAATGAAGGTTTTTCAAAATCGTGGAAACCATGATGATCTTAGGACTTTTATCCACGATGCTCTTAAGACTTTTATCTACAAGAAGAGCTTAGTTTCCGTTAAGAGAGCAAACGAATGTCACGAAGGGAATAATGTGTTCAATATGGCTCTAATTCAAGATTTTTTCCCATCTCTTTATTTCGGTAAATATATCATCCCATCTAATTTTTACTATTGATTCTACTTTGCAGGAGTTGTAGCAAATTTTAAGAATTGTTTAAGATAATTTTTTGTCCCATGTATTAATGTGTGGTTTATAAATTGCTTTATATGTAATTGGTGAATGATATGTATTAGTCAATTCGGTATTTGAATTGAGTTGTTCATTTGAGGCTTTCATCTTCAGGAAATATAAATTGGAAAATTTGCATTATCAGAAATGGTTTATGGTCTGTCTAAGGATTGATGGACTCTTTCTTAATATATGAACCGTATCTAGGATAAGGAAAGAAAATTGTGAATCTCATCATAACAATTTACTCCTTATCACGATCATGGTGAATGACTATGAAGTATGAGAGGTATAGACTCTTGTATTTTTTTTATAGTTGTTTTTATTTATTCGGTGGGGTCGGTAGGGTCTAATTAATGACTAGTACTTTTTTTTTTTTTTTTGAAAGATAAAGTTAATTTATTAAAAATATTGAGGGTTTACTGTGAAGTTCAATAGTTAGCCCATTGCTAAGAAGAACAACCAAGCCAGAGGACAAATATCCCAAAGACAAACCATTGTTACAGATGAACAACCAGCCTAAGTCAAGAAGCCCAAGACCAACAAATTGAACAACATGTGTGTGATCAAGCTTCAATACTGCATTAAGCTCATGGATTGTGACTCCAACAGTGCTATATGCAACTCATCTTCGAGGATCTGGTGGTTTCTTTGGAGGTCAAATCACTGACTCTAGAAGCTCCCATTCAGCGGCAACTCTTCTAGCATTGAAGGTGTCAGAAATTGTTGATGAGAGAATTTTGGTGCGAATTGCTTCTAAAGTAAGGTGGAGCAAAGAGTTAGCACTGCGAGATTTCTTCTTGAAGATTCTCATATTCCTCTCAATCCAGATGTTATAGACTAGGGAAGCTAATGCCATTTTTGAGACTGTGTTGCTGTAATGATCTGAATTTCCCTTCCAATGAAAAGATGCCCAAGCAATGAGCTGAGTCCAAGAAGTAGGCTGAATGTAGAATCCACAGCGAGCCTGTAGAAATTTCCATAGAGGCTGAACAAATGAACAACTGAAAAATAAGTGGTCATGAGATTCAGGTTCTGCATTGTAAAGAACACACATTATGGAGTTAATATGTGTTGTACACCTTCTATTCAGAGTATGTAATTTCTGCTGAATTGCAACCCATAGGGTGAAGGAGTGTTTAAGAATGGATGGCTTAAACCAGACAAGATGAGTCCAAGGTAAAGTAGGATACTGCAGGTTGAAGTGATCCATGGTTTTTGCAATGGAGAAATGGCTAAACTTGGCTGGAATCCAGATGTGTTCGTTAATGCAGTGGGGTTTAGGATTAGGCAGTGAGAAGGTGTCTAGTAGTTATGGCAATAGGTTTGTAATGGTTTGTGGGAAGGACTATGAGTTGTTGATGATGAAAGTGTTCACTTTGGTCATGTTGTCAAATCCAGCTGAAATAATCTGTTGGGGTAGAATGTGCTGGTGCAGAGGGCTATGTTGACACCATTTGTCAAACCATAAATTAGATGAAACTCCATCACCAATTTCTAAGTTGATAAGAGGCCTGACTGAGTCCCTAAGGCCAAGCAATCTCCTCCAAGTCCAAGAACATTGTCAAGGCACTTTGTCCTCCCATAGACTTCTGCCTTTAAAATGGTATGTATAGATCCATTTGACCCACAACATATCCTTTGAACATATAATGTTCCAAAAATGCTTCATGACTACACTTTCATTCCAAATTTGCAAGTTTGGCAAACCAAGACCTCCAGCTTTTTTTGGGAATACAACATATTTCCCAAGCCACTTTGGCTTCAGTCCTTTTTAGATCTGGACCAGACCACAAAAAGGCACCAAATATGCTTTCTAGCTGATGTAGAATACTCATTGGTATAATGAACTTAGAGCTCCAATACATTTGAGTTGAGAAAAGAATTACTCTGATGAGCTGGATTCTTTTAGCAAATGAAAGGTGCTTACTTGTCTAATGAGCAATTCTTGAAGTAATCCTATCTACAAGGGTTCTGCAATCATTTGCTTAATTTTGACATCTTAGTTATCAATGGTACACCAAGGTACCTAATAGGAAGAAGTCCTTTCTCAATTCCCAGCAATCCTAGGATGTCAAATTCCAGTTATGTGCTTACCCCTGATAGAAAAACCTGACTCTTGCTTTGATTAACTTGAAGACCAGAAAAAGAGTAAAACATGTCCATGGCACCTTTAAGTGTTTGAACTGATGGTAAACTAGCATGAGAGAACAGTATTAGGTCATCTACAAAAATTAAGTGAGACAACCCTAACTCTTTGTATCTCCAATGGTGCTTGAAGGAACTTTCAGCAATGAATTTGCCAACAATTGAGGTGAAGCCTTGCATAACAATTATGAAAAGGAAGGGAGAGAGAGGATCACCCTGCCTTAAGCCCTTGACACTTCTAAGATGACCACAAAGTTCCCCATTAATTAAGATACTGAAGGAAGCTGTAGATACACAAGTTATAATCCAGCCTAAGAACACATGAGGGAAACCTAGAAGCTTTAAAGAATCAAATAGGTAATCCCAACAAACTGTGTCAAAGGCTTTTTTGATATCTAATTTGATAGCACATCTTGGTGAAGAGGTTGACTTATGATAGCCATTGAGAAGCTCTTATGCAAGAATAATAGAGTCATCTATGCTTCTGTCATGAATGAAAGCTGACTGTGCAGGTCCAACAATGTGAAGGAAAGTAGGTTTAAGCCTGTTTGCAAGCAGAGTGGAGATACATTTGCAGAGTGTGGAGCAGCATAAAATGGGCCTAAAATCATTGAGGTTTGATGGGGTGGAAACTTTTGGGGCTAATACAATGTAGGAAGTATTAACCTCCTTGAGAAGTTTCCCATTTATAAAGACCTGCTTAATGCCCCTAGTGACATCTTGTCCAATGATTGGCCAAGCTTTCTTATAAAAGAAAGCATTAAAACCATCAGGCCCTAGGGCCTTATCATTATTCAGTGAGAACATACACTGTTTAATCTCATCATCTGAAGGTATAGAGCATAGAGATGGATGAAAGTGTGATGGTAAAACAGGTTGTAAGAATGGTGAGAGATGGTCAATACCTGGATAAAGATGTGGATTTGATCCCAATGCCATTGTGTAGTGATTGATGATTTTAGCTTTGATGGTAAACTCAGTGTCCAACATGGAACCATTGGAGGATAGCAGAGATGGGATTTTGTTCCTGTTGTTTCCGTTGACGCTAAAACCGGCCGACTGGAACCGATCTTAAATTGATGAAAAACGGGTGTGCCTGAACAAACTATATGGTTTAATTGTGGATAGTCAACTTGCAGTCTTTTTGAGAAATTGACTTTCAGGCGATTATAGGAGAAAGAGAATAAAAATACTCCTTAATGAGTTCTAATTGCCTTAGTTAAAAAGACTTTTCAATGAATAACTTATAGTAACTTTCAAGAAAATAGAAAGGGGAGGAAAATAGATATAAAAATAATAGAGAGAGAGAGAGAAAGAGGGAGAGAGAAAAAGATTTAGAGGGAGAGAGATAGAACGAGAATAAAAGATAGAGGGAGAGAGAGAAATAGTAAGGATGTTATTTTGGGAAATAGCTTGAGAAAGCAAATAAATAAATTAAAGATTCTGAGGGTGCTGGACCACAATTTCAGCATGCATCTTTGTTTATTTATAGAATAATTCGTAAAACAAATACCTATAAACAAGCATCCTAATTAAATTACAACTCTATCACATAACTAAGTATAAATTCAAAATATATTAATCCTAGAGATAACCCATAGCTATGTAACTGAGATCCACTGAAAGATAAATACTGAATATACTATCCATATCCAGTAGTTAATTCAAATATGTTTTCCACTTTTGTATGCAATTTGAATCCACCTAAAAATATAACCTTATTTCAATTCAAACTATTGCCGCATCCATGCCCATGTATTTGCCAAATATTCCATTTCAGTTCAAGCTTACTATCATGTCACCTCCTAGTCACTGCCCACAAAATTTACCAAAAAGGGTGTCAACAATGCCCCCCAATTTTAAATATTTTATCATCTGTCGGCCGCCTAAGCCGATAAGATATTTAAAATTTAAAGTACATTAGAAGGAAATTTTGAATAAAGACTGCGCTAGTCACTTGAAATCAGATTGCAAATCAACAAGCTCCAAAATTTTATTTCTTCTGAATCACCTCTATGATGATCTTTATTTTATATTAGCCAAATCTGCCAATTTAGGCTTCTTCCTACATTCTTGTAAAGTTTGCCAATATCGCCTGCCTATAAACCCAGGAAGGACTTGCCCCCCATGCATTTTCTAACTCCATTAGCAAATCATGATCATGATCGGCAGGGATTAAATTGTTGTGAAGCGTCATTCTAGCCGATCTACCTACTATCTCTATGACATTTTGCCAGGACAGAGTTTTCTTAACTGATTTCCTTTCTGCCGATTTCACATTCAGCTCCATCAACAGGACTATATCATGCCCGAAATTCCATTGATCGGCAAGCATGACCTCACTATAATCGGCATAAGTTGAGATATGTTATAGAATAACCTTTGCCGATTTTACATTCGATTCAATCGGCAGGACTGCATCATGCCAAAAAGTCCACTGATCGGCAAACATGACCTTACTATAATCGACAGGCTAAAATGGAGCATATAGATCGACTAACTCTTGTTGGGGGTTTGCAATCACATGCCCCTCGACAGCCGCTAATTTTTTAGCCGAATTTCTTTCAGCGGATTCTCTGAACCGATTTCTAAGTACCCTTGCCGATTTTGCCTCAGCCGATTTTCTCAACCGATTTTTAAGTACTCTTTTGAAATTAACATCGGCTATTCTTTTTCTTCTTTTTTTGAAGTTGGGTTGAGAATAGCGAGTTAAAAGAATTCTTTCAACTGATGATTGTTTTTGCCGATTATTAGATGTCACAATCGGCAAAGAATTCTGGTACATAGGTCGCTTTGCTTTCAGCCGATTTATACCCTTCCATTCATCAGTAACAGGTTGATAAATTTTCTAACTTTGTTGATGATAAGTCATCTGTTATGACTGATTTACCGCCTGCCAATAATCAGTTGCTGGAACTTACCGATAATCGGCAGTCAGTAACTGATAATATTCTGGCAAACATTGTTGTCGATTTTCTGATAAAATTTACTGCCGAGATCGATAGGCCTTGCCAATTTTGGTACTGGTTATCGGTAGCCCTTCATATAAGAGAGGTTGTGATACAGGGGTAACATGCTGATTCATCACCTGGTCAAGATAAGGTTTCCTGTACACGGGCCGAGGACATCTATGCCCTTGAGCTACCTCGGCCTGGATAAGCTGAGTCATCAATTCTTTAATTTCCTGATCAATCTCCCCCATTTCTTGTTATTTTTTTAGGGGGAATCGGCATAACTAGTGGGCGTTGTATTTGTGCCATTAGTGTTTTCATCCTCTGCTTAAATTCTAGCCAACTTTCTTGCTGATTAGCCATCGGCTACCCCCCAAGTACCGAAGATTGTGATACGGGGGTAAAATTTACCACTTGCCGATAATCGGTTGCTGATGTCTGCCGATAATCGGCTGCTGAAACTTGCCAATATTCTGATGCTGAAACTTGCCGATAATCAGTGACTATTGGCTCTTCCCGTATTTGAGCCATTAGTATTTTCATCCTCTGTTTACATTCTGGCCAACTTTCTTGTAGATAATCGGCTGCTAAAACTTGCCGATAATCTGATGCTGAAACTTACCAAAAATCAGCGATTGTTGGCGTCTGCCGATAATTGAATGTTGGTGTCTACTGATAATCGACTGTTGGAATATGCTGATAATCAGCCAATAAAACTTGCCGATAATCGGTGACTGTTG